TGTACGTATTGTATAACATAATGTAGCATATCTTAAACGTAAGTTTTCATATTTTCAACATTTTCGTACATATTTTCCCCACAAAACAAGATGGCTTGCTCGCACTCTCTGAACCCAAGAATTTTATTCAAGTTGTAGATGGGGTATGTGTCTGTCTGATGGCCATTTAATTTATCATCAAAAATGTTTCTTACCCATTCCTGATTCTTAATGCCACATTACTCTCCCTGGTGTATTTACATTAATTAGATAATTGAGGCACTCACAGCGCGTAAGTTTCATCAAAAAGACACCACTGCTGACGCCCAAGCCATCATAGCGGCCACAACACACACTTTCATATCAAAACAATTACAATTAAGAACCAATTAGATTTATGTGCTGCTCTACCCATAACAATTTAAATGCAAAGTCCGCTATAACGATATAATTAGCGTTAAACAAAACCATTCCAAAGATTGAACTGCATGCATGAGGCATTTTTACCAAGGGGTGGGATCAAAATGAAATTGTTAGATTTTAAAAAGAAGGATGGATTCAGATTTATAAATTGAAGTTTTTTAAAGGGGTCAAAGATTGGCCACAAAATGTGTGCGTGGTTTTCCTCCTGCACGTGGTTTTTCCCCGTATATCACGCTGCCGTTATTAAGCAAGAGAAGCATTTCAAGGCTTTGGGCCTCTCCTGTGACAAAGGGCCTACTATCATTTAAATTTTAGACACCATATACCCCAGTGCAAAATTGATGGTGCACTGCAATAAAAATAAAAATAAATAAAGATAAAAACACAATACTTCAACTACAACTACTACTACTACTACTACTACTACTACTACTACTACTCATCATCGTAATAATAATAATAATAATAATAATAATAATAATAATAATAATAATAATAATAATAATAATAATTGTATAGCAGTTAGCTGCCTGTTTGATTGATAAATAAGGACACAATGTGTAGGGCTGACAAGTATTATTCAACATACAAAGTATTTTTAAAAATATTATTGCACATTGAAGTAAACTCCATACCAAAAGAAAAATCGCAACCCAGCTTTCAATGAGAGAAATTGTATAATTTGCATAATTTGCAGAGATCATTGGAATTGGCTGTTGCATGAGAGATCAAAGCAACATAATTTTCAATCAGCTAAAGTACCAGCCAGTAGTTTCTAGGAAGGTGTCTACCCCAAACGTAGCTATCCTAATGTCTACATTTAGACTTTTATTAAAGGGATATTTTATTAAAGGGATAGCAACTCTTCGTACGAGATCTATATTTCACAGTAAAAACGTTGTTAACAACTCACAGAAATATAATATATTCCATTTTACCACAAATCGGCAGTTAAAGCATTTATTCTGAAATATGTGATTGCCATCAGACCATGTGACCTCCAAAGATGGCTATACAATGTAATAATATCTTAAGAGATTATAACATCAAAAAAAAAAAAAAAAAAAAAAATTAGAAAAAAAGGGACTAACATTGAATGTAGAAATGGATTCATTAACCATTGGTAAGTATGGAAATTTGTTGTTCACTCCAGGAAAATTCATTTTTTTGGCCAAAATGAACAGTTGTTATCCCTTTTATGCGTGCTTCCCTAGTACTCCCTGCAGAGAACGTTTTGAGTCTTTCCCTGCCCAAGATATTTACTTGGCACAGTATTCAATACGGGACATTTTGGGTGTTGACCTCCAGAAAACTGATATAAATAAGGGCGAACAAATTCCTTTGGTCCAAATCTGTTTAAAATCTCCAGGAGAGCAGCGGTCAATTCGTTTGATACCCACCAATTTGCTCTAAGATAAGGTGTGCAGTGAAAGTATATTTCAAAGGTGAGTATATAATCTTGTGTTTTATTTGGCTTAATATTCAACCATAATATAATAATAAAACTGCAACCAAAGGCATACAAATATAATGAAATGGTAAAGAACATAGGAAATTTGTTAAAAATTTTTGTATCAAATCTATATTCCAAAAATTAAAAGTACGTACTCCACTTAAAAATGTGTTATTCATCGTGAGGTTAGTTACTTTCAGCTGTATGCATATATTTCTCATTTCTAAATAATCGCTCAGTTTTAAAAGAATCAAGATACATTTACACCCCAAGCGTCTCCCTGGTACCGGTATGTCAGAAAAAAATATTGACATTTTATTTGTTTTTTTTTTAAGTTTTTTTTAGCTGACTTTCCTGTAGTGAAGGGCACATGCCCCCACCCAGGTACGGGATCTGGAGTAATAAAAAGACGTGTAGAGTCCATGGTTTAATGTGTCAGTGTGCATTAAAAAATAATAGAAATAAAAATAAATAATTAAACATGACTTTAGGGCATTTTCTAACGCGTATTAAATAACTTTTAGTAATTTTTTAATAACTTTTGGGATATTACATTCGCTTTCTTATGTTATTTCCAGAATATTGGAACTTTGCAACCAAGACAGCATGTACGGAAGAGTTCCTCTTGCGCTGTTGCTACTGGCAACCACAGCCAGTGCTGTACCCTGGTGGTATGCCGACATGAAGCCTCCAATAGAAAGTCCCACCAACCAAGCTAGCAACCCGGGAGCTCAACCTAGCAACAACAACAACAATAACAAAGGATATGGCTTCTTCTTGTACAACCCTAACAACAACAACAACAACAATAACAACAACAACAACAATAATAACAACAACGACAACAGCAACAACAACAACAACAATAAATACAACAATAACAATAATAACAACAATAACAATCAATCACCTGACATCAGTGGAGCTTCGGTGATCAATGTGCCATTGAACAGTGCGCGCCGCGGGGGGTCTAAATCAGGTATGGTATTCTTTTAAAAAGTTCATATTCTTTTTTCGACAAATTTTGCACATTTTTTTTTATTTTACCGTTATAATTTTCGACTGTTGCTTGATAATCTTAAGAAGTATTAGTTTGTTTTGATTTTTAAATCGCCACTTTTTCTTTCCGTTGTCTCTGAATCCAGATTTGGAATACATTTCCTAAAAATACGTATTCGGCTGGAGGACACGGCCTCTTTTTAAGTTTCACTAAAAGGAAATTTGCACACAGGTATACAGCAATAACGAGGGTGCAGAGAGGAGAATAACATTGACTAGTAACATATTGGTAGTCTCCATTTCTTGGATCAGGCCTGGCTCCATTCCTTAAGCAATTCTTAAAAAGAGAAAAAGATTTAAGACAAGCAGAGATTCTTCATGTTTCAAAAATTCTGTTTCAAAAGTCTGCGACATTAAACCGAACCCACGACGAGTGTCAGCAAAATTGAAACTGCACCAGTAATATCTATTAATGCCTTGTTTTTGTTTTTTCCACTATATCTCTTCATATACAACATTGGTCAAAAAGGCTGTCCCACCCCCATTTCCATGTACTTTTATTTATTACTGTACTGTTATTACTGTTGTATACCACAGTGTCCCGAAGAGCCAGTGGAGTACAGTAATATTTTTTATAATGTATTACAACTGATTTGAAATATTTTCTCAATTTTTAGGGAAATTCATCGTCACGTTCCAGTCACATGTCAGTCCATTTAACGGTAAGGCACATAAAATCACCCTACTGCGGTAATAGAAATTTCCAGTAACAGCCTAATGTTAGATAGAGGTCACTGGAAATTCAACTCTTGTCAGCTTACTTCTGTCATTTCAAACAACACCCTCACCCTGTTAGCAGGGTTAAGATTGGGGTGTTTTCTAAACCTGACCGTGTCCAAAATGGCCTTAATGGTTTGAGATTCGTGAAAGTAATATATCTAAGTATCCGTCCGTCTGTCCACACATCTATCTATCTATCTATTTTATTCATGTTTAACGTCAAACAAATCCTCTTTTGATTGTAAAATCAACCGGTCAACCAGAACCTACATGTAGTATTACATTAATATTTTTCACCTTGCCAAGCAAGAAAAAGAATAAATTATAACAAAAATCAAACGAAATAACTATAAATTTAAAAAATCGCACTAGCACTCGTACTTATATAATAATAGCGTTGATTCATTTGGATTTACTTTAATCGTGTTAATTTGCAATTATTGAAGTCGGTACCATTTAACTTAAGAGCATCATTACTATAGTTATTCTATTGCCATTTATTCATTTAATCGGCGGATAAGATATATATCCTTTTTTTCTGTGATTTTCAGCGCGTTATTCCATTGGCTTCAATAAAGTGAAAAAATTGCTGTCATTTAATCGTCGCGGACTTGTTGCTATAGTGGATGGGATGGACCAAAGGTGAGTTTCAGTTTCTGACGTGGCTGACAATCCGCAAGATTGCATTAATACATAACTTGGACCTAAATATCTCTTATTATGTCCATGTACGTAACCATGTAGTTTTTCTTTGCGCTCTCGTGTGTGCTGGTGAGCCGCGAGTACGTGCGTGTGTGTATTCAGGTCTTTATGTTATTTTTTTGCCGTGTTTGTCGTTAGAGTGTATTGGTGCGTGTGTTTGTGTGTTGTGTTGTGTTCTGTGTGTGCGTGCATGTGTACATATATGTGTGAGTGTATGTGTGTGTGTGTTCGATTCCATATGTAACTGTATGTTGATACTTGGTAGCATCAAGTCCAAGTAACAATAACTGTAGCTGTGACTACCTAAGAGTCAGGTTGTATGCTAGAAAGTGGAATAAATTACCTGTGGACTTGAGAAGCATTAACTCAGTGGAGTATTTTAAAAAAGCTTTAAAAACATACCTTTTTCACAAATTTTATTAAAGAACATTTTATAACTCGGAAACATTAACTGGACATCATTATCTTAACTCAGACTCTTAGGTCATAATTTTATTAATTCAATTCATCTTAACTTTGTTTTTAGTTTTTAGTTTGTAAAGTGACTTTATTTATTTTTTTATTTTATGGATTTTAGATTTTAAAATTAAATAATTAAATATAAATTTTAAATAAATAAATAAATATATTATTATTATTATTATTATTATTATTATTATTATTATTATAAATCCACTTCTGCTGTCATGCCTTTAAAGCCACATTTTCCTTCCCGCTTTTAGTACCGCGCAGGCGCTAAGGCAGCGACCGGACGTCCGGTCAGTGAGAGAGGACATAGAAGTCCATGCCACACAGTGCTTAAACCATCCAGCATATTACAGAGACAGATGGGTAAGGTTTCACCATTGTAATAGAGTAAATTAACACTAATATACTGTACTTAACAGGACATGCATAATTTCCTTTAATAATAATAAATAATAATAAATTTATTTTGAGTCTAAAATCCATTTCAACATGTTCAGAAGACTTTACATATACATAAAATAATTACTTAAGAAATCAATTATTGGGAATAGATAGATATAAAATTACAGAGCTTAACGACAAAAAAAAAATTAAGATTATTTTAGATAAAACATACTGATTCTCATATAAAAAGCATTTACACTACATAACTAAAATATGTTTGTTAAGAAAAAATAATCAATTCAAGGTAAAAAAAAAACAGCCTTATTTGCACACAGAAAAAAATTATACAAATTATTAAAATTTATTAAGATTATAAAAATTATTAAAATTTTCTTTTAGTGCACAAATGCAATTACTATAAAATTTGTAAAATCAATTTAAAAGTCGGATAGTCAAAAAATTTCCTGAATAGGTATGTCTTCAATTCTTTTTTAAAATGCTTGGTAGACTCAATTGATCGGATTTCCAGTGGTAATAAATTCCATTCCTTTAGACCTGCTGATTTAAAAGAAATGTCACCATAAGTTTTTAGGCGCATTTTTACCGGCTTAAGTAACAATTTGTCTGCAGACCGCAGGTTTCTTGCTGGAACATAGTGAGTGACTAATTCACTTAAGTAGATCGGTGCAACTTTATAAAAAGCATCATGAACAAAAAATAGAAATTTAAATAAAATCGTGGCTTGCAGAGGTAGCCAATGTAACTCTTTTAAAACTGGGATGATATGTTTACTCATGGATGTACGAGTTAATAATCTAGCTGAGATGTTCTGAATACGCTGCAGTCTTTTAATCTGGTTTTTTGGACAACCATATAAAATAGAATTACAGTAATCCAACCTAGATGTTACTAAAGAATTTGTAACTGTAGCTGCAGCAGAGTCAGATAGGTGATTGCGAATTGCGCCTATATTCCTAATGTTATATACCGCTGACTTGCATATGCCAGCAATTTGCTTATTCATAGAAAGTGTTCTATCTAAAAAAACACCAAGATTCTTAGCATGGGGCATTGGCTTTATGATACTGGATCCAATTTTGAGTTCAATTTTTTCTAATATTTTGTGGTTATGAGGTTGGGTTACAACTAAAAGTTCAGATTTCCCATCATTGATTTTCAGCTTATTTCTTATCAACCGCCCTCGTAGATCACGTACTGCACGTTTCCATCTATCTTTTTTTGTTTGGCATTTTAATATTAAAAACACTTTTTACTTCAGGGTCTTGACAGTCTTGACGGGGTGGCAAACGACGACCAATTTCGTATTGATGGTGACGGATCTGGTGTAGATGTTTACGTTTTGGATACAGGTCAGTATGACACAGCTTGGGGAAGGGGAGGGAGGGTGAGAGATCGGTTGAACCCCCCTGGCTATATAATAGGCTATTGGCTTTGAAACATACTATTTTTTAGTGAATGCACTGAAAAGTGAAGCTTTTAATAACAGATTTGTTCTTGTTTCTAGCAAAACATCATCGAGCTTGTTGTATTTACCCAGAAGGTATTAGTTCTTTAGCATTCTTTAATGTAAGAAAAATAGAACAATATGAAAAATGTTAGATCTCCAAATGTGGACGCTTGTTTGCAAAGGTTAAATAGAGATATGGATAGAAAAAACACGCAGACAAATATACTGACAGACGGACAGACAGACGTGTGAAAAGCTCAGAATCAAGACCAGTTTTTCTTCACAAGGTATAAGGCGTGGACACATCGCCTTTGATGGTTACCACAGCCCGAGCACAGACCGAGTGGACTCCCTTCACTTCGACAGCTACGGCGGGGACGGGTCAGACGACAACTATCACGGAACGATGGTGGCCGGATTTGTAGGCGCAAATATCTGGGGAGTAGCGAAGGAAGCTACACTTATACCAGTAAGCTGAGCCACCGCTATTTCTGTTGTACTGTTTGGGTCCACGCAATCCAAAATGGCAGTCAAACTACGGTCTTCAGTGTTTCAGATTTTTTTTCGCTACTCAGTTTATGGATGTCATTATGAAATCCTTTATGGCTGATGTTAGAAAAAGTTTTCAAATGTATATCAGTCAATCTATTTTAACTGCATTATAAAAAGTGAATGATAAATAATAATGAAAAAATATTTCAATGTGGACTTGAAAAAGTTTCAAAGACGTTGGTTAGATTCTTGTATGGACGCACAAAGACCTAAATGAGGTGCAAAATCAAACCGTAAAATATTTCCAGGTAAAGGTTCTCAATCGATATGGCAGCGGCTACATGTCAGACATATTAGCCGGGCTAAATTGGATTCTCGAGCAAGTAGGGCCTACGGGGAGAAATCGCCCCTCGGTCATCAACATGTCTTTAGGAGCGTCAAACCCGGGTCCCAGTTATTTTGATGGTCCTATAGACGCTCTACGAGACATGGGTGTCCTCACAGTGGTGGCAGCGGGGAACGAGGGGGTAGACGCTTGCTTAAGCGATCCGGCTAAGGTGCCCTCCGCCATAACCGTCGGTAAGTTCTTTTGATATATATATATATATATATATATATATATATATATATATATATATATATATATATATTACATTGCATGTAGCACTGACAATGCATAATACGCAGTATATCCTAGCCGCCTTATTCAAAAAGAATAGTTCAGAATATTCGAAACTTTGATAATACAATTAAAACATTACTTAAAGTAAAATACATTTATGATGACACTACGGCGCCCCGTAGCGTTCAACAACTTTTTTTTTTTGGATAATTTAAAACCAGTCTTACTACTTTTCCACCTTCTTCCTTCGCAGGCGCAGTGGACAAATACAATCACCTAGCCTCGTTTTCGAACACTGGATCCTGTCTCGACATCTTCGCCCCGGGGGTGTTGGTGGGGGGTCCAAACTACGCACGTCCAGACACTGAGTTAATGTCTTATATATATGTGAGTTTAATCATGAAATAAAGACTCTCATTTTTTACTAACTCCAGTTTATCTGTAGAAATTTCCATAAGGATTAGGAAAGAAGAGGGTTTCTCTGGAATGTCAGTTTCTCTGTATGGACTTTCAGTTTGTCACATATCTTAAGAAAAATTTCAATGATTGATTTCAAGAGTATATTTTGATAATACTACTCTTTCTGTATGCTCTGTAGTTAACTCTCCCAATTGGTTTTGTATATTCCCATTTATTCCCCATTACCACATACATGTGTATATAATATACCACACGTAACCGTTCTGTTCCAGGGATCAGGGACGTCATACTCTGCACCACTTGTTGCTGGAGTCATAGCCGCCTATATTTCAACGCTGTCTTCCACGCCTTTCACTGCGGCGTTTGCAAATGATGTAGAGGGTTATATCCTAACCAACGCCGCTCCTCTACTACAGGGCGGGTCACCTTCCTATACTAATATGCTGCTTCGTACTCTCTGTACATAGACGGTACAGCGGTATTGCTGAATGGGCTTTTTTACTTGTTTTTTTATTTGTTTGTTTGTATTTTACTCGCTGTTCATAGAGTGGAAAATCTCCTCGTACATAATGTATTATAACGGTGAATGTAACAGAGTGGTTCACAGAAAACTCCATATATTACTTTCCATCTCATTTTAAAATTGATCGTTGTTTACTGGACCACCCTCTCATTACAGTTTTACAATGTCTCTTCTGACAGTAATTACACGTAGCTTGTAAAAATATGCTATTGCGATGCAACTTTGTACAATTCAGCAGACTGTAAATTTTTTTGTTTGCATTTAGCGCTCAAAACCTTAATGGTGGCCGCTCATTTGCAAAGGAGAGACCTTAGCAAACCTGTGCGGTGTGGCATCCTTTAATCGCGTTGTTTGCTTTTACTTTCCATTCGGCAGTTTTATATCACCTATGAGTTCAATAAGTGAAATCCAAGTCTTTGACTGACAAATTTGAACTTTTTTATTTTAGTTTTATTTCTGCTATTTATTCACGTATATTGCATGTAAATAAACACTTTCCCCATGCTTTCTGGCGCCTCTGAGTTCTGATGCTTTGATGTATGAACTAATTCTATGTAAGAATAAAGAAATGATTGATACATTATTTGTATTTAAATTTTCTGACACGTTTCAAAGGGTTAGAGACCATTGACGAGCAGCATATTAATGGCCTTCAAGACCTGAAGCCAGTGGCACTAAATAACAGGCCCCACTTTCACAAAAAAAGTCAGTTCCCTGGCGCTTAGTTGAGTAGGATTTCCATGAGAGTGCTGTTTCAGTGTTCCTGATAGGGTAAGATGTGCCCATGTGACCATGTAACCTTGGTAAATAAGTTATTTAGCCAAGGAACCGGACTAAAGCCAGTGCCACAAAATAGCTTTAGGTCGAAAACATGTTTTATCTTTCTGACCACCTTGGTGTGATATTAATCAGTCGTAACTCAATTAAATAAATAACGTGTCTGTTTTATAACAGGAGGAATGTTTTTTTTTTTTTTTTGATAGTTGCTTCCACCTTATTTCACTTTATGACTTACATGTGTTACATCACACACATTAAATACAATACAGTTGGTACGTGTTTGTTGTTTGTCATGGTGATTCAGTCTAGGCAAAATCTCGAGCATGGAATAATCTCAGACACTGTCTGTAGTCGTGTGTCATTTTTGGGTATTACTGAAGGATGTCATGCATGCCTTCTACTTCTATGGCCGGACATAACCTTGCCCAGGTCTATGTGCATTAATAAAGTGATCGATATGCCTTCAAAGCGTGTAAGGTCTATCAAAAAGATATCCTTACGTCCCAGCCATCTTAGAGGCCACAACAAACACTTCTGAGGTCTGATATGTAGAAATGTGTATGCTGACTTGCAATTCAGTAGGAAAACGCAGACATTTCCGTAGGAGTACTGCCCTAATTTCAGTAATTAGTCTTCTTTAGTCGGTTTGGACATGCATGTTATGACTTATGTGCATATTGGTCAACATCCTTAGTGCCGTTATGGCCAATGAAATCACAAAATATGAAATTCAATCTCTCTCTCTCTCTCTCTCCGTTTCTCTCTCCCTCTCTCTCTCTTTCTCCCTTTCACACACACGCACTCTCTCTCTCTCTCTCTCTCTCTCTCTCTCTCTCTCTCTCTCTCTCTCTCACACACACACACACACACACACACACAAAACACACTCTCTCTTTCTGTCTGTCTCTCAAACACACACACATGCACACTCTCTCTCTTTCTCTCTCTCTCTCTCTCTCTCTCTCTCACACACACACACATACACACCCTCTCTCTCTCTCTCTCTCTCTCATTCTCTCTCTCTCTCTCCCTCTCTCTCTCTCTCTCTCTCTCTCTCTCATGACATCGAAGATTCCTTTTCAGTTCATTTCAGTTCAGTTTAGGACAGGCACCGTACATTTGATAAAAGAAGTAGGAAGATTTAGAACTAAACGAAATGTGATGCCTACTCTGTGGTAAAAAGACGAGGGAGGAAAAACCTTTCTTATTTTCAAATTCAAGTTGCTCATTTTATTAATCAGCAGGACAGCACTTCTACATGTACAACTGTTAAGCATAAGTTATTCTCGAGTTCACTTGCATAAGCTCTGATAGGGAGCTGGCTACAATCTTTGGTTGGGTTACAAACCATGATTACAACCTTTTTGAGCACGTCACTAGTTAACTTAACTATTTGAACATAAACTAAAAACTGACGGCTTGGTGCGTTATATGCCTGTCACATACAACAGTACACTGTATAGGCGTATAGACTCCTTTTCCAACAAACCCGCAGGATATGCGCATATCTAAGGTGAACAGAGTGAACATATGTTACATTTTTGCATTTTCAGTGAAATCGAAAAGAAGTCTCCTTGCCTGCGTCTTGGTAAGTTGTTATTTCACATCTGCCTTTAACCCACGAATAAAGTACGTCACGTGACTTAAAATATCGAATCAAATGATCGAGTTCATTAGTTTATTTGTTAATTACCTATACAATGTACGTTATACTTTAAACCATTAGACCTTAGCAAATTCTGATTAAACAGGAAGTTTTAACACGCTGTGCTCCATTTTAAGCACCATATCGTGAACCGTTGACGTTTATGACTTACAAATCGGGTTTTGAAGGTTTTATTTTTAAAAATTTTCAGCAACTGTCGTAGATGCACGTGGTAAAATCCACCCGAAAGGTTAAAATCTCGAAAACGGCCGTATTGGTTTCTCAGGGGTTCTGGATAGGTGTTACCATGACGATACAGATGTGGCTGAAATGTCCAGAAATATGTGTCATATGCACGATGTGGGCTCCAGTGTTATTTGAACAAAGTGCATTTGACAGTACCCCAGGGGGCCAGTAGCCTCGAGCTCCACTCTCCACCTCCCTCTGTGGTTCAAAGTGTTGATTTAAAACTATCCCTCTACAATAAGTATTCAATAGCTGTTACTCTGGGGATGAGTGGAGGGGTCAACAATAAAAAGCGTGTCACAAACTTATGACAAATTTTATGTCTCGCGTGAAAGATCTCGATGTGCCATCGGCTATCTGCGTCAGTCTCAAAATGACACGGGTGGCTCTAAGGTATTATTCCATCACATCTTTATTGAAGGCATATTCTCTTACACAACCTAGATGCAGTCTTATAAATAAAGATGGCTTTCAAAGACCGACCTAAGTCAGTTTATATTTTAATATTGTGTAAGTTGGCTATGCTGGGTCCGGGGTTCTGTATTTACCTTTGGGGCACGTACTGTGTATAACTATCTATCAGGCAGCGTGGGTTGCGGAGGCGTTTAGCGATTGCCATGATTCTGCAACGTGTTCAAGATTCATCCCAGGTCTATAAACGTAGCTTACTTCAGACGGCTCAGTCATTTGCACGTCGCCGTGAGTTCAACGATCACTGAGAACTGCAGAATATCTGAGAAGACGCAGTTTCCTAACCCACCCTAAGTTTGGACAAAATAATTTTGGTGAGTGTGGATTTAGTGAAATTGTTTCATGTACGTAATGTCTTCACTGTTCTTTTTAAATTTTGCTCGTTCGAAAAGATTTCATGCAAAGTATAGGTTTGTAGTAATTGAGTTGGTAGGCAAAAAATGCAGTCCTGAACTGAGGAGAATTAGTTAAACTAATTGATAAAACGATCGAAAAATGGGCAATCACTTACGATCAGTCAGTAAGCTATTTTTATTAAGAAAAGGAGCAATACATCTTCGGCAGCATGTATAACATTGCGCTCTACCATATTTTTTCTCTAGATGTTACAAAATTGGATGAAAGTGTTTCGTCCAATTCTATAATAGCTGGACAAGACAAAGAAGACCTATGTTAAAAGGCAGTATAACATAGTGCAAGTTTTATCCATTTAATTCATTTTAGTTAAATAACTTTTAGTTTTAATATGTATTGGCAATGTGCAGCATATATCTTTCTGTTTGTGCCTGTGCATGCATATTTGTAATAATAAATTTATATGTGATAAACTTTTATTAAGGCTTCAAGGATATTACAAATACGTCTAAAACTCGATTTTTGGTTTTTTATATGTTAGAAATAATCAATATTGGATCTAATACTGAATTAAATTATATTTTTGCAACACGGACTAAAAATATACATTTGGACGAGTTTTTCTACCTGCCCTGACTGGTAAGCGTGGCAGCCTTTAGGCTCCGCCTCCGTTGTTAAAGACAGTCTCAGCNTCACTCTCTCTCTCTCTCTCTCTCTCTCTCTCTCTCTCTCTCTCTCTCTCTCTCACACACACACACACACACACACACACACACCCTCTCTCTCTCTCTCTCTCTCTCTCTCTCTCTCTCTCTCTCTCTCTCACATACATACACTACACACCCTCTCTCTCATTCTCTCTCTCTCTCTCTCTCTCTCTCTCTCTCTCTCTCTCATGACATCGAAGATTCCTTTTCAGTTCATTTCAGTTCAGTTTAGGACAGGCACCGTACTTTTGATAAAAGAAGTAGGAACATTTAGAACTAAACGAAATGTGATGCCTACTCTGTGGTAAAAAGACGAGGGAGGAAAAACATTTCTTATTTTCAAATTCAAGTTGCTCATTTTATTAATCAGCAGGACAGCACTTCTACATGTACATGTACAACTGTTAAGCATAAGTTGTTCACGAGTTCACTTGCATAAGCTCTGATAGGGAACTGGCTACAATCTTTGGTTGGGTTACAAATCATGGTTACAACCTTTTTGAGCACGTCACTAGTTAACTTAACTATTTTAACATAAACTAAAAACTGACGGCTTGGTGCGTTATATGCCTGTCACATACAACAGTACACTGTATAGGCGTATAGACTCCTTTTCCAACAAACCCGCAGGATATGCGCATATCTAAGGTGAACAGAGTGAACATATATATGTTACATTTTTGCATTTTCAGTGAAATCGAAAAGAAGTCTCCTTGCCTGCGTCTTGGTAAGTTGTTATTT